TTTTTTTTTATTTTTTATTTATTTTTATTTTTATTTTTTGTTTTTGTTTTTCGAGGCAGGGTTTCTCTGTGGCTTTGGAGCCTGTCCTGGAACTAGCTCTTGTAGACCAGGCTGGTCTCGAACTCCCAGATATCCGCCTGCCTCTGCCTCCTGAGTGCTGGGATTAAAGGCTTGCGCCACCACCGCCCGGCTCTCCGGAGCTTTTTAAAAAAGGAGTTTTGAATTTGTATGTAGCTTGTCACAGTCGTCTGCCAGTTCAGGTAACAGAAACTTGACCTCTCAATATCCCCCTTTAAGTCCCTTTGTTACTGCCCCTTCAAATGGGGAGAGGGTGTAGCTGTAGAGGTGCTTGGTGCTAAGCCTGCTGGCCTGAGTTCAGTCCCCACCCCCACACAGTCACAAGCAGCGTCGTCCTCCCTCCTGTGCCTTTGAGCCGGCCGACCATGCTGTCGACTGCTGCAGCTACACGAGCAAGGAAGGGCTTGCAGCCGGAGTCTTGCATTAAACACGCTTGTGTTTCTGTGGCTGACCTTCCCGCTATGCCAAGGTTTCCGTCTGGCTAACTTTCCCACCAGCTTTTCTGGGTCAATTTCTGGTGACAAAGTTCCTCCATTTTCTTTCACCCTCAAACACCCTGATTCTGGTTCCTTCCTGAAAAATATTGACTTGTTTTCAATGAGATAGGATTGTTGTGGAGTATTTAACTTTGCAAGGGTGTGTTGCATTTGTTTAACTATGTAAAGATGTGTTGCTGTTTTACCTTGCCTGCCTACTGCACCTGAATGCTGTATTAAAAAGCTGAACAGCCAATAGTGAGGGAGGAGGTATTATAGCCAGGACTTGAGGGAGGGAGAGAGTAAGTAGGAGGAAGAATTTAGGCTTAGGGGAAGACAGAAAAAGACACCAGGGAAATGCCAGGGGCCAGCCAGCCGTGGAGGAAGCAGGAAAGTAGAGCATACAGAAGAAAAGAAAGGTAAAAAGCCCTGAGCCAGAATGTAGGGGGAAAGAAACATGTTTAATTTAAAAGAGCTAGCTGGACAAGCCCAAGCCAAGGCCGGGGATTCTAAGGCTCCGTGTCTTTGTTTGGGGCTGGTTGGCAACCCCCCAAAATGCCAACTACATGAGATTGTGGTTTGTCAGTTCCTCCCTCCTTCCCATTCAGTCTTTTGTTGAGGTGCAGGGTCTTACTCTAGTCCAGAAATGTACTAGAACTCAGGACATAACCCAGAGTAACCTCAGCTCAGGACACACCACCCTAGCGTCCCCAGTGCTGGGTTACAGACATGTGCCACTGTGCAGCGGTGCGGGCTGAAGACAAGTTCCATGTCATTCAGGTGCTTTTCTTGTGGTGGTGCACACCTTCAATCCCAACACTGAGAGGCAGAGGCAGGCCGGTCTCTGAGTTCAAGGCCAGCCTGGTGTACAGAGTGAGTCCCAGGACAGCCAGGACTACGCAGAGAAACCCTGTCTCAACCCCCCCCCCCCAGTTTTCTTCAGAAATGTGGTTATGCTGTACCAGTACCCTGGTAAGGATTTCGTTGGGTTATCCATGTTCAGGTTTGTTCCTCCATCAGCAGGTTTGGGTTTCTTGCCAAAACTGTGATTAAGGCATTTATTTATTTAGTAGTATTATAGTCCACCAGAGAGTCTGCCCACTCTGCGCTCTGAGCCCAAACTACTCTGAACACAAGCCCTCTGTGCCTCTGCCTCCTGAAAGCTGGGGCTGTAGAGTTGTGCTGCCACGGGACTGACGCGTGGCTTGAATTGCTGCTATTGGCCACGGCTGGGCTAGCAAAGGGATGCACAGCTTCCTCGCAGCCATGCTAGACAGATCCAGATTCCTCCTTTGGCCTCAGCCAACACCTGAGGTGTTTGGTTCCTCACTGCTGGCTGGGAGCACCCCACCATCCTCATGAGGAGCCTCAGGTAGACAGCCAGGCACCCCTGTGGCATTTGGCTAAAGGACAGCAGCGACCAGAACCAAACTGTCTTGTCTTTTGAGGCTGCCTCTTCCCTGGTGCTGACCTAGAATGGCTTTTGCTTGCCCCCCCCCCCCATTGGCGTTTCCATTGTTAATCTGCCCCAGGTTTAAGCTGAAGAAGGGAAGCAGATGTTCATGTGGTACAAACATTAATTCTAGTTGTTTCTTTTTATGAATGGCGGCATTCTGCTATGCAGAGATGTTTGGTTTTATATAGAGCTGAGCACATGAAAACGTATCAGGGTTTTAGTGCATGCTTGACAGGGCTTATCACGGTAAGACCCTGCGATGGAGGCTTTGGGCACTGAGCTGCGCATGTTCATCACAAATCTTGCAGCCCAGCTAGGCACCTGGGGGAGCAGTTCTTTGAGCTTTAGACCTCATGCTCCATACAGACCCTCAGTGGACATCTGTGGGTGAGCCTGGCACAAGGTGTAAAAACCCATCTGTGGCCACGCATCCCTTCTCGTTAGGTCATGTCCCTAAGGATCCCATTTCCTTAAGGTTGACTGTTCCGGGCTTCCTTGGCATCTACCTACTGAAGAACGCTGGAGAGAATTCCCAAACTGTTATCCAAGCCAAGCAGAGGACACGTGTCCTCGATCTGCAGTGGCATCTAGCCCGTATCCACGCGTAACATGAGGAAAGCAGCTTTCAATTCAGACTCGGAAGCTATGCTGGTTTCCACCGCTCTCCTTTATTAGCTCAGTCTGTCCTAAGCTGTACAGCTACGAAAATAACAGACGGAGCCGGAAGCCCAGGAGACGCGCACTCCATAGTGAGGTCAGCCTATGCTGTTGCACGGTCGGTTACGTTTGGTACCACAAGGTGTTCATAATTCAAACAAAATCGGACAGATTAACAATTTTATGTACAGTAAAACAAAAGGGAAGTAATTCAAGTATCAAAATATGGAAACAAAGATTAAATAACATTTTTCTTACAATCCAGTCCCACTGTCCGCCATGAGCAACAACTCCTGTGACCTGCAGCGTAGCCGACTGTGAGACACTGTGAAAATTGCAGCCGTGGGTTCTGAGTGCTCGAACCCGAGGCTTCTGGAGAACTCCTGAATAGGCAACCTCAGAGGCAGAGCCCACCGGAGCCTCCTGCTCAGGGTAGCGGGCTGGCCGGGAGAGGCAAGGAAGGGAGCCTGCGGCCACCGCAGCAAGGGCACTGGGCACATTTTACCACTCTGACCAGAACGGTTCCTACACAGCCTTGGTCTTGCCACAGGGCATGACTCGCACATGTGCCAAAGGCAGACCCTTCCACTTGGCACCTGTCCCGAAAGGGAGAGACCCACCCCAATCTTGAGCCCCAGAGCAGACAAGCCAGAGACTTTCTGGTAGAAACACCCTGAATAAATAAGACATAGCAGCGTCAAGGGGAAGTGCCTGCCTGGGATTTCTAGAACAAAATGCAGCTGGAGCTCATCGTAGTGTCTGCAGTGTCCCCAGGCTTCGTGCCCACCACCGAGCTCACCTCTGGGAGCAGGATTCCTGCAAGGTGGGAGCTGAGGGCAACTTTCTAGGGCTGAGAGTGTGGGGCAGAAAAAGGAAGTTCTGTCGCCGGTACCTTGCACCACTGGCTTCTTTCCCAGAGAGGACAGAGAGCCCACAGGCCTAGCAGAGGTCAACCCTGCTTCCCAAGGAACAGCCACGAGGAGGAGGCGCCCAGCAGCGCTCCACACACACGCCCCAGCTGCAGTCATATATCTGCTCTAGCCTGGCCTACTGCCCCCGAGACCGCATCCACGGGCTCAGTGCTGCTCTTTCCTTTGCTCTCTACTCCAGAAACGCTGGGGAGTGGCTAGCCTGGCTTGTCCCCATCCTCCAGTACTCTAAAGAGCAAAGCTAGCTGGAGAGTCCGAGGGACACCGCTTATCCTCAAGACCACAGCCGGGAAGAGTGTCACTGGACATAGCCTTTTCCACATCTGGAACAGATGTGTCCAGCAATAGGAAACAACAGTCAAAAAGAACCAGAGTGAGGCCAGCCAAGGTCCAAGCTGGCAAGCTGCAAGCTTATCTGATAATCCCACTAGTGCTCCAGACAAAGCCACTTCTCCCTTCTGACATGGCTGCTGCAGCCTGTCAACACACGGCACAGCTGCCGTGGGCAGTGCCAACGTGGACAGGAGAGTACCAAGGAGTTCCCCACACCAGAAACTACTTGCTCATCCCCACTGGAACCCCAGAAACTTCTGCTCTGGCCCAAGTGTCATCACCCCAGCCTAGCTCTAGACTAGGAGCTGGGAACAAAAGTCTGAAGTCTCAGCTCTGCCCCAAGCCACCCCCAGGCTGGGGCTCTGTCCTGAAGGCAGAGGGCTGTACGGACGAGGTCTTTTCCTGTCATCTTGATTGACAGCTTTATCCAGAAGCTGGAACCAAGTGTTAAAAATTTATAAAAAAAAAAAAAAATTACGTTTTCCTATTAAAAACACATGTCCTGGACAGGCCACTCTTGGGCCACCAAGAGTTATGGTCCCCTCTGCCTCCATGGCTGGGTTTGATCTGCCAGACCAAGCGCTGAAAGGAGATCCTACGGGCAGGGCTGGGCCTGGGTCTTCAGAGCTGTCGACGAGGCTCGGTGCTGGGGGCAGGAGCCTGTGCTTTCCACGGCTGTTTCCGCAGCACAGTGTGGCTCCTCAGTGGCTCAGCTTGGCAGAAGCAAACAACGGGGGAGGAAAGAGTTAACCAAAGTCTGTGCAAGTTGGAGGAAATGGAAAGGACACAGAGCAGAAGAGAAGGTCCCTGCCTCCCCCGAGCGGAGCAGAGCGCCCTCCACAGCCTACAGCCCTCTGCTGCTCCTGGCCCATCTGTCCAGGAAGGCACAAAGACAGGAGGTGGACAGCCCTGGTCCCAGCTCAGCGCTGACTGACTCTTCCACTGTCCTACACTGTTGGCACCAAGGCCACAGGAACCAGTTCTTCTGCCTCCTGCCATCTAGACTGATCTTCCCACAGCTCCATGATGCTAGCTGTGGGGATGGCTGGATGACGGCTGTCTCAGGTCCCTACCACCACAGGGAGTGTGAGAATGCTGTCAGACACCAGAGAAGCTGCTCAGTGTCCGCCCTCTGCGCAGGCAGCTCCACTCTGAGAAGGAAGAAGGTGCACTTGTGTGCAGGGCACGCCTCGGTGAGCTGGACTCCAGAGCCAGGCCCATAGCACAGACAGGGGCCAAGCACACCCAGGTCCCTCAAGAACCCACTGTTTGGACGTGCTCTAGGGTGTGGCCAGTACCAACCTTGGCCCTTACAGAAAGTCTGTCCCTGGTGAAGCCACATCACGGGGCCTGACCAGGTGAGAAAGCAGCTGTGTGCAGGGCCCTGGCACTGGTGGTCACAGTGGTGGGTGGGTCAGGAAAGGTGAAAACTGGTAGCTTTTGGCATCCAGCTGTGACCCAGGATTGGACAGGAGAGGAGAGCAACCTTGGGGAGGCTACTGGGGTCCCCTTGGAAGCTACCCCCACTCCTCACCTCCCAGGGCCTATTGCAAAGGCTTTGGGGCCCTCGGACGGAAGCTGCCCTAGCTGTCCTCGGCCCACTGGGAGGTTCACAGTGTGGGTGGTGGAAAGCAGGAGCTGTGAGGGAGGAGGTGTCTAGAGCTGCTGCCAGGAGGGCAGGTCCCATGCAGCTGGAAGGAGAGCTGAGACAGCAGAGCCATCGGGTGGCAAAGGCACAGTGGGGTAGTGGAGACAGGGTGGCTGTTTAGAAGATAGTGGTCTCATACTTGGTGCTGAGGCTCCGCTTAGAGTCTGGTTTTGGGTCCACAATCCAGGAAACACTAGCGTGGGATGGGGCCTCCTGGTCCGAGTCAGGCGGTTCCAGCTGTCAAACAAGGAGACAGGGTTAGGACTGAATATGGCCTCTGCACAGGGCCCGCACACCTGCCCGCCCTGAAGGTGAAGGACGGGCACCTCCAGGAGCCTGGAACAGTTCCTTAGGGAACTATGCAGGGGAACCCTGACCCACTAGAGTTCACGCTCTAAGCTGCAGTCTGGTCATGGTGGGCAGGAAGGGGACGAAAGCTCAGCAGCCCCCAGCCCCTGGGTCCCTCTAGTGGGCAGAAGAGCTCAGCCTGGGGCAGACCACTGCACGCATTCTAGACCTTTGCAGAGGACACACGACAAAGACAAAGGGCAGAGCACACAGCGAGGGCATCTCCAGAAAGGAAAAGAGTCACACAGGCAGAGCACGAGGCCACTGGGATATGAGAGCTCACGGACGCTTCAGAGAGCCTGACACACAAGACAGCGGGAGGCAGAAAGACCTTGGCTCCAGGACTAAGAGACGGCAGCGGTAGGTAGGAAGGACGGTGGGTGGTGCAGGTGTGACAGTGACAACAGCGAGTATCGGGGGGCATCGGCACCTGGGGCGCAGAGCAAAGCAGACAGACGGGGGGGGGGTCACTGGTGCTGTAGCCACGCACGGCAGCCCCAGGACGGCTGCCCTCTCCTGCCCAAGGAACCCAGGGATGCAGTGGAGGGGAGCTAAAGGAAGAGGGCTGCTTTCTTGGGGCAACTGCCAAGGAGTGAGAAGACATTTGATGTGCCCAGCTCCACCCAAGCCCTGGGGTGCCTTGTGGATGGGGGGTGGACACGTACTGCAGACTTCCTCACGCCGACCCGAGGCTTAGGCACCGGTTTGGAAGATTTTGTTTCAATCATTGCAGCTGCAGAGGCCCCCATCGTCCTGGATTTCTGGGCCTGAAGGGCCAGCTGATAGGCCACCTCAAATGCCTGCCCCAGGGTCAGGATGATCTCGTAGGTGAGGTTCTGGGAAGAAGCAGAGAGCCTGCTGAGCAGTGCAGATCCCTGCAGACCCCCTATTCCTACAGGGAGTAGGAAACTTTTTGAAAATAAAAATTGAAGCCCAGCAGTGGTGGCACACACCTTTAATAACAGCACCCAGAGCCAGGGATTTTAATCCCAGGAGGCAGAGGCAGGCAGCTCTCTGAGTTCAAGGCTAGCCTGGTCTATAGAGCAAGTTTCAGGACAGCCATGGGTTACACAGAGAAACCCTGTCTCAACCAAAAACAACAAAACAAACCCAACAGACTTATTTCAAAGTGAGGAATTTCAGCATATTTAGTTTCCTTAGGCATGATTCTTTCAAACACTAAACTTCAAAACCAGCTAAGCTGGGGCTGGAGAGACAGCTCAGAGGTTAAGAGCACTGGCTGCTCTTCCAGAGGTCCTGAGTTCGGTTTCCAACACCCACATGGTGCCCTCTTCTAGCCTAAAGGAATACATGCAGATAGAGCCGTCGTACATAAAATAAAGATCATTAAAAAAACCAAAGCCCAGCTAGGCTGCTCCTATCACAAGAAGAGACACCTGCGGCCCATCCCTGGTGTCCTGGGGACTGTGCTTTCTCCTGAGTCTTCTCTGGCTGGCTTCCCAAGGTGGAGGGAGCACCAGTGATTGGTAATGTGCCCCGTGGTCCACCGGCCTGCAGCTATGCAGCACAGCGAGTTAGGAGCATGTGTGCCTCTGCGAGCCGCAGGCGAGGAGCTACTAGCTCACACCATGTAATCTTCAATACAGCCCAGAGGGAGTAGAGGTAACGTTTTTAGATCATGCAGCTACTAGGGGCAAAACTGGGCGTCTGACACCACAGCCCGGGACTGCAAAGACTTCCTGTAGCGTCTGTGTGGAGGAAGCCCCAGAGCGCTGAACACAGGAGACTTCCTGTTGGGTAAGCAGGAGCAAGGAGAGCCAAGGCCAGGGTGTACCACTACCAGCAGCTTGGGGTCCTGTCCCACCTAGGAAATACGTAGATAAAAAACCAAGGTGCCACCAATAGCCAGGCTTAGGGTGCTTCCCTCTGGGCTGCCACTCCTGCTGTGAAAAGGATTGCACGGGGCACCACTGGGCTTCATTCGTAGGCCAGTCCCCTGCCTGCTAGGGCTAGGCCAGCAGATCCCCTCCATGGCCTTGGTCATCTCTGCCTTCTCAAGGCAGAGCCTGCTGTTGTCACGGGGACACTCACCACATCCACTGTGCTGAAGACGTGGCAGTAGTGGTGGCTCGTCTGCAGGTCCTTGGTGATGTAGGCAAAGGTACACAGGTCCTCCGGGTCCTGCGCAGCGCAAGAAATGTTCCGGATCTCATGTTCAGCAATGACATTCTGCCAGGAAAAACGTGTTCTGGAACTCACGGTCCCCTCGGGGCACGCCTCTAGGATTACCACCCTAGCCTTTCGCCAGCCTGGAACTCCAGACAAACCCCTCTCTTTCCTCACCCCTGGCCATGGCCAACAGGCAGCAAAGTGTTCCTAGTCAAATGCATGCTCCACCTGTCCCCACAGGAGGGCAGCAGAGCACCCAGGGAGGCTCTTAGGCCAGGCCAGGGACCAGCAAACAGAGTTCCAGGAACCTGACAGCGAGGTGGTTCTGCCCACCTTTGCCCTTTGAACAGGAAGTGCTTCAAAGACTCGAATACTGGACACTTTTCTCCAGCTTTTGGCAATGTTCTAGAAGATGCTGGAGACTTTAAGAGGCAGGGCACAGGAAGCAGGTTACTGAGAACATGCTTTGGAAGGTTATACCTGCCCAGGCCCTCCTCACTGTCTCCTGTCCACCACAACAGAGCAAGCTGTGCTTCCTCTTCTGAAACCGTAAGCCAGACAAGCCCTTTGTGCTCTGAATTGGTTGGGCATGAACAGGTAACGTGGAAGTGGAGCTACGGCAGTGCCTAACCTGACAACATGGTTCTCGTACCTCTGCAAAGGTGGACAGAGAAGGCTGCGTTCTGTCCCTGCTCCTGGACGGAGGCTGAGGTGGAGCAGGTTGCATTAGAAGGGGCTATGGCTGTGGCTGTTTGAGCCAGGCTTACAGGGAGAACTGGAAACAACAACCCAGGCAGAAAGCTGTAATGAAGCTGGCCCAAGGACATGGTTTCTGAAGACAGCAGTAGCATTAAAGAAGGAGCCAAAGGCTCTGTATTAGAATAACAGGAAAGTGACTTTGGAGGCAGTCTGGGCATTGGGCTACCCTACCCATGACAAACACAAGAGGATGGAGGCATGAACTCACTGGAACTGCTAGAGTGCTCTGCCTGTGCAGGGCCACCTAGGAGGTTAGGAGGTGTTTTCCTGGAGCCATCTGATCGTGTTCTACCACTGTGGAACACTATGTGTCGCTGTGACTAGCCAACAGCTGAACAGGATAAAGTTAGGAGGCCAGCCGAGGAGAGGAAGAGGGGCAGACAGACGCGGAAGCAAGACGGGCATGTTGTCCTGAGAAACGGCACCAAGCCACATGGCAGAGCACAGATAAGAGCTGTGAGTTAATTTAAATGTAAGACTCAGGTAGTAACGCGCCCTAGCTGAGCTATTGGCCAAGCATGTGTAATTCATACTAAGCCCCTGTGTGTTTATTTGGGAGCTGCTGGCAGGACAGACTTCGTCTACAAGCCACAGCCATGGCCTACAGGCCCAGCTACTTCAGTGGACGGCAGACCCTGGCATCACCTATGAGATGCTAGTTTTGCTGTCACGAAGAGACAGAAAGGTTACAGGGTCATGGAGGCCTGTACTCCAACTTCAAAGGAAGACCATGGGGCCAGGTGGGGCCAGGTGGGGCCAGGGGAATTCAAGAAGCTGTGTGGTGACAGCAATGGAGACTGAAGGCACCAGGAATATGGATATTTCCCAAGAAAAGCTGGGAACAGTGACCAAAGGCAAGAGCTGAAGCAGCAGGGCTTCCAACCCCCCTGGCCCTCACAGTACCCCACACATATGCCCAGATGCCAGCCACGGAGCTATGGGTACCACTGACCTTGCTGGGCCCTGGTTTGCTTTGGTCTGATCTTTCTCTGCTATTCCTTAGAGTGAAGTTTTTACTGTGTCATTCGGTCAGTCAGGAGCATGAGATTTGTCTCCCAACTTTTACTATTCAGGAAGTAAATATGAGTAGGGAGTTTTGCCTGTGTGTACCTGTGAGCCACATGGGCCCGGTGCCTGCTGAGGCCAGGGAAATTCCATCTTCCTGGAAGTGGATTTACAAACAGTTATGAGCCACCATGTGGATGCTAAAAATTGAACCTGGGTCCTCCGGGAGAGCAGCCAGCGGCGCTCTTACCCACTTAGCATCTCTCTAGCCCTGGTTTCTGAGTTTTATTGGTGCTCATAGTTAATAGTCTGAGCTGGGCATGGCAGCACATGCCTTTAATCCAGCACTTGGGAGGCAGAGGCAGGTGGATCTCTGTGCGCTCAAATCCAGCATGGTCTGCAGACTGAGTTCCAGGACGGCCAGGAGCCACTGGGACCAGCGGCAGAAGATACAGTTAGGAAATGAGGTGTCCCTGGAAGGATCATGTACTGAAGGCTGGCCTTGGCTGGTAGGAGGTGCCAGAGGCTTGTCCTTGCCCCCTTTCCTGTCTGCCCCCTTGAGTTCCATGAAGTGAACAGTCTCTACCACATGTGCCCCAACCCCGTGTATACTGCCACAAACACCGAGGCAGGTGACCACAGACCAGCCCTTCTGAAACTCAGGTGGTTTTCTCTCAGGCATCTGGTCACAGGGGACACCTGCCAGCAGGCCTCACGAGAACCATACCTTGTTGGAAGCGTCGATGAACTTGACCCCTTTGTATGTGATGGACAGGATGATGGTCGGGACTTTCTTCATGTGCTCTGTAGACTTCTGTAGGAAATACGGGGCAGGCTGAGAGTTATCTGACCGTAAGGTCCATCCCTCTGTGGTGCAGTAGGCCCAGGAGGTGGTAACCGCTGTTCCCACTTGCTGTTCTAGTCAGCCACCTCCCCACGTTTTCCCCTTTTATTCTCATGTTATGCATATGCCAATAAGAAGAGGGCATCGGTTCTCATGGAACTGAAGTTACAGGCTTGAGCTGCCATGTGGGTGCTGGGAATTGAACCAGGGTCCTCGGTAAAGGCACCAGGGCTCTTAACTGCTGAGCTGTCTCTCCAGTCCCTTACCCGCATTTTGGCACAGGCATCTTGTGTGGATTCTGTCCCTCGCAGATCTTTGATCAGCATGGAACCCAGATACTGTGGGAAGGGGCAGAAGGTGGGTTCAGGAACACGTGTGCTGTCGTGTAGGATGACCTAGCCAATGTGGGTCATCCTGCTGTTAGAGGGGTCACCTTTCCCAACAGTCCTCTCTCCTGTCCCCTTAGCACAGCCGCCCCAGAGGGAGGGGAGGAGGCCATCTGGGAGAGCGCGAGCGACTCACATTAGCCTCATAACCACAGGATTCAAAGATGAGTTTTTCTGGCTGGTGCTGCCAGCTCTGCACCGGAGCATAGGGGGCAGCCAGGCTGGGCGGACGGAGGGTCAGCTTGGTCTCACTGGGCTCCTCCTGTAAAAACACACACAGTTGGACACTGCTCACCTCTGTTCCTGGGGAGCTCACAAATTCACCTCTAGCATACCCAAGAGCGGGGAAACCGGTGACCCCAGCAAAGGCAGGAGTCAGGTGCAGAGGGCAAAAAGGCACCTGAGCAGCACTGGGGCCAAGGGAGGTACTCTCAGGGCAAGCACAGCCAGGCACCCAACACAGGAGCACGCACATAGCAGGATGTGTAGAAACAAGCTGTAGGCATGTTTCACATAAAAACAAAGGCTGAAGCCATGGAGCTGAGTCCTGGGCAAAGGATGTGATTTAAATGGGCCCTCTGCTAACAACTGGGGTGGGAGGAGCCACTGTAGTTCAGACAAGAGTCTATGCAGGGGATGGAGATACAGGTTCAGAAAAGAACTCAGACTTCTACCATTATATGCAGGCTCCACAGAGAACCGAACAGCTGGCAGTGTTCACGTCTGTAAAATAAACAGCTGCAGGAAGGAGAGGGAGTGCGGAGAGAACAGGGAGACGCCCAGTGACGTGGAGTGTGTGCAGGGTGTCAGAGCTCTCCCAGTCCCTGCCAAGCTGGGGTCCAGAAGGCTACTTGCAGCAAGGGGCAGAGCCAGAGCTTGGCAAGGCAGGAGGACAGACAGGCAAGCCCTGGAAGAATGTCTGAGGGTGAAGGCTCCAAAGGCTGAGCCCAGAATGCAGGACTGCACCAGCCTTGCCCTGGCGAAGCATAGGGAAGCAGGAAATATCTAGCTGTGCCCGCGAGTCTAAGAACAGGGGCGGCGAAGCACACGGGGAACTGGGTTGTGGTTCTGCAGGGTTGGTGGGACAGGAGGACAAGGAGCTTTCAGCTACAGAGAAGGAAGCTCTGGGGATCAGGATGAGTGAGAGGATGGGATGGCTGTGGGGATGAGCGAGGGCCCGCAGGGCTAGACGGGAGGACCAGCCACAGGAGAGCCCCAGACCTGAAGATGGGAGGGGTGGAGGCGGCTTTTCTCAAAGCTCCTGCAGGCCCTTGGGTAGGGTGAAGTGGGCAGCAGTACTGCCTCCTGCTGCCGATCCCTGCAGCTTCTGACCCTTCCGCTCACCTGGACTCTGAAGCGCTCTACTCGAGAGGCTGCCGCAGGGTCGTACGGGCTGTCGTGGCGCCTCCTGCTGGTGTCTGCCGAGGGCAGCAGCAGTTCTGCTGACCGCCCTGTGCAGGAGTCATTCTGGCTCAGTGGGGATGACGTCTGGGAGATTAGGTCCTGGCACTGTTGGGCAAGAAACTGGTGAAATTCCCAGCTGAAGGTGTCGGCTGTTCTGAGGCTACCTAGGGTGAGCCCAGAGCTGAGGGGTGGAGAGCAAGGAGGTGCACAAGTGGCCAAGAGCTGTGGACGGAGGCGACTAGGCCTTGCCTGGGCCTTGTGCTCACATTTATCAGCCCTAGGTGCGGCCTCACGGGAACTGCTTTGGCTCCTTCCTACAGTTAAAGTGGTCCTTGGTTAGTGGCCATCTCGGCACCTTGGGATACAGACAAGAGGTGCCACCCTTGCAAAGGACAGAAGCCACTCTCCTGTGTGGGAGTCCAGCAGGAGAGGGCAGGGACTGCTGTCTGCTATTCTGAGACATGTAACCAGGACGAAAACACAGAGTCATAGACCGTCTCCCTCCTTGAACTCACTCTTAGCTGGGAAAATCTCGGGGGCTTCTGGGGTGGCTCCTCATAGGGCCTTTCCGCAAGCGAGGCGATGATGCGTTTACGGTGGCCCAGCAGGTGAACCTTCAGGACCTGGTGGCGGAGCAGAGGGGTGGTGAGTGGAGCTGGGCTCCTCAGCCCCTCCTGTCCTAGCCTCCCACGATGCACTCACATTGACAAGCTCCAGCTCCCAGAGGTTCTTCACAGTGTCTATGGAGCTGTAGCCGCTGGACAGGAAGGAATGGATGTAGTCCTGCAGCCCCAGTGAGTCCAACCAGGAGGGCACTGAGGGGGGGTTGACCCCATCATAGCCAAGAGCCTTCACCTGTGGTGTGAGGAGGCCTAATGGCATCTGAGTTACAGAGCAAGAAGCTGGAGACCAAGGCTACCCCGAGACCCTCCCTTGGCACAGGCCATCACCACTCTGAGAGGTAGCAGCTGCTGGATATAAGGAGGAGGGGCCAGTAGGTGAAGCAAGATGGAGGGAAGGGGTGACAGACTGCTTCTCCATGAGCTCTGGGAGGTCACAGGTTTGTAAGGGCAAGAATATAGTGTGTGCCAATGAAGCAGTTACTTCCTGAACTCTGGGTTAGTAAAAGGATCAATGGGACACTGGCCACGGCACTAATAGTCAAGGTATGGAGGCTGTTGTCTCAAAGAAGCCAGTGCTGCTGCTGCTGCCTCTCATGCCTGCTCCTCAGGCTTCTCTGGGGTCAAGATAGGCTAGCCTGGGCTCTAATGAGTCAAAAGAGACTCCAAAGGGGGCACCAGTGACAAGCCAAGACTATGGGCCTCGGTTCTGTGCCAAGAGGACCCTAGATCCTCTTGCCCAATCAGACAAGACACTTATTACCTCTTATTAGCCCTGCAGGCTTTACAAGGAAGGAACAAAGACCCTGTGCCCTGCTGGGCTCTTATAGGGGCAGACATGGGACAGACAAGACCTGCATGCCTCAGAGCCAGGCTCCTTTCTGCTCAACCTAGGTCAGAGGCTCTCAACCTTCCTGATGTTGCACAGTTGCTCATGTTGTGTTAACCCCAACCATAAAGTTACTTTGTTATCTGACAATGTGACCCCTGTGAAGGGGTCAGGACCCACATGTTGAGAACCACTGGTCTAGGCATTCAAGAAGACAGCCCTGGCCTGGGAGCATCACCTTAGGCAGGGAGCGTGCAGCCTGCAGCAGCTTCCGCCGGTGCTGTGGGTCGCTGATGCCAATCTCCCTCAGGTCTTGCTCTTCCATCACATTGGAGCCCTGAGACAGAGAAAAAGTTAGGTCCTTCCTACACTGGAGCCTAGCGTCCTGTAAGTCAGCCTGCCATGACCCCATGCCAGATTTTTCTGTCGCAGCTACTAAGTGAAGGCAAGAAGACGGCCACCAGACAGGGGCCAGCATATGCTGAAGGCAAACCTGCTCAGACTGTCCATTCCCAGAGCGCATGGAGCTACACTCACAACCCCTTTGCATCACCTTGGAGGGAAAGCTCTGCGTTCCCCACAGACATAGCTCTGTCGGCCAAAGCTGAGTGAACAAAGGCAGGCTGACAGCGCTCATGGAGCCAGCCTCACAAGGGAGCCGGAGTCAGAACTATTCAAGCGTAGGCTCCTGCCGTAGGAGCGGGTCTCAGCATTCCCACTGACCTCCACTACAGAACAGACCGGTCGGCTGGGGAAGCTGCAGAGACAGCATGGCATCACACTGAGTGACAGGGAAATAGGGACAGCTGGCAGGCCACAGGCTACCCGACCTCACCACCACAATGATGATGAGAAAATGGAGACACCTGGCAATCAGAATTTTCCAGAATTTCTATATCTGGGGGCAGAGCTTAGATCTGAACCCAAGCAGTGAGACCCCACACCTGTATCCCATGAGACTGTCCCATTGTAACAGACACAAGGGTTTTTTTGGGAGTGGGAGAGGGGTGTTGAGACAGGGTTTCTGTGTAGCTTTGGAGCTTGTCCTGAAACTCATTCTGTAGACCAGGCTGTCCTCCAACTCAGAGATCTGCCTGTCTCTGCTTCCTGAGTGCTGGGATTAAAGCCCGTGCGCCGCCACCACCTGGCTTGTATTGTTTTTTGAGACAGGTTTCTCTCACTGTGTAGTTCTGGCCTGCAACTAAGAGACACCCCTGCTTCTGCTCCTGAGTGCTGGGATTTAAAGGCGTGTGCCACCATGTCCAATTGTGAGAGTATAAAATTTTATGTAGTCACAGCTCACTGTGACCTCAGATATTTGATCTTCCATCTCCCTGTGAAGGGGTTACAGGTGCACAGCCCCATGCCAGGATTTCATGGTGCTGGAGACTGAGGTCAGAGCCTTGTGTATGACAGGCGAGCACTCTGCTCACTGATAACCCCCCCCCCCCCCCAGCTCTTCCTGCCCGCTCTGCCACAGCGACCTTCTTGGGTCAACCGTTCCTGGAGGATGACACACCTGCCAGTCCTCGCCACCCCAACACCCAGGGTGCACGGCTCTTGTCACCTTTCCTTTCTCCAAGACAAGGTTTCTCTATGTAACAGTCCTGGCTGTCCTGGAACTTACTATGTAGACCAGGCTGGCCTTGAACTAAGACATCCAAGACATCCACCTGCCTCTGCGTCCTGAGTGCTGGGATTAAAGGTGTGTGGTACCACCGCCCCACAGACACCTCTCCTTAGTTCTTCTGATTACCCAGGCTAGGCCACTTATGCAGGCTGCTTTTCTCTGAAGCCAGTGGAGTCCCTGGGTGAGGGCATGCCCACTCCCAGTGCTGGAGGAAGAACGCCCTGTTCCAGGTCATTCAGAAATGGCACCACCAGAATCCCAAGTCACCAAGCTCTGCTAGGCCAGAGCTGCAGATGGCACCGATTGATTACAGAGTGTGTACATTTAAGGTCCTGGCAGATGTGTCGCATCAGCGCTGGGTGTCCCAGCGAGGCTGATGTCTTCTCTGTTCAGGCATCCATCAGGGTCCCTGCTTCATGGTCTTCCTGCTCTGCACACAGCCTTCTGGGTTACAGGCGCTCTCTCTGTCCTTGCTTGGCTTGTGTGTGCTTTCCAGGGAGGAGACAGACCTCTCCGAGAAGGCTAGTTTAGTTACTTCTCCTTGGCCACAGGACACACCTCCTTTCTGCCATGCAGAGTCTGGGGCCAGCTTCTAGGTCACCCCGCTGTTTCTGCAGCTGCCCTGCTTCTCCCAGTGTCCCTACGGGCTTCCCGTAAAGCCCTTCTTTTCTACACCTGAAAGGGCTCAGCTCCCGTGGCACGTGTTGAATGTCTGGCATGGGAATCCCTTCTAGGGTTACTCTTTAAGCACTGGCATTTTCTTGTGTCTGGCGATGTCCTTGAGCCAGTTGTCTTCCCTTCCGGGTAGAGGCGTTTCTTTAGAGCTTTACCTGGAACTGGACTTATGTCCTGTGGGTCTAGAATGGCTGCTTCTTTCTGAATTCTATCTAGAAAAGCAGGTATCCACTCCCACTGTGCACTTGGACATGTTAGGCAGCTTGGGGCAATGCATGCAGACCATGGCTTGGGGGCCCCACCTCCGCCTCAGCACCTGTGTGTGGGACAAAGATCCTACAGAGGACATCACCAGCTTGAGAGCTCTGTTCTAGACTTTGCTGCTGTGGGGCTGCAGAATGCACCCCCTGCAGCTGCTTAGGATTGCATCTAAAGTCTGCTGATAGGTAAGGCCACACACCCAGACTGTCCCTCTACCGACACCTAAGCAAGAACGTGAGATAAACCAACACCAACTTCCAGAAGCGTGGCCAACAGCCACTTCCATCACGCTTCTGCCAGCTCTATGTGAATCAAACCCTAGTCCAGGGTCAGGAGCTGTAAGCTCTGAGGAAGACGAGGGGAACAAATGAAGGAAGGGTACAATGGGAAATATGGCTCCCAGAGCAGTTCCTGCTCTGTCCCTTTCTCTCCCTGGGACCTTGGCAGCTTCAGATGCCATGGGAAGGGGATGGTGTTTGCATGGATCGGGGGATCCTGCTGCCCCGACAGGCCCTCTCCTGACTCAGCTTGCACCTTCTTCCCTACGGTTTATCTCTCTAGAGTACTTACAAAGCTCAGCATAGTGCAACGCCAAGTTGTTACTGCACTGTTGTGTGTCTACGTTGCTACATCACTCTTGACCAATGGCTGAGCCCACTGTGAGAGAGGGCTGACTGCATATTCTGTCTGCTGGACACTCACTTTCTTCTCTTATTGCCTAAACAATACAGGGTAACAAATGGCGGTCAGGCAAATCCTGGGGGCGCAGAAGGCCCTGCAACAGTGGACAAGGGCTGGACGGCTAGAGAGCAGGGCAGAGGAACCAGGTCTTAGACCAAGAATGAGGCTGTCACCAAAAGCAGCGCCAGTCACGATCTGTCTGTGTTCCCGACATCAGCTGACCCTAGTGAGGAGCCACGTAGCCACGCATGCCTTCACAGTGGGGTAAAAGACACATTTCAGAGACCAAGGCAGCCAGGCTGAGTCCAGGGGAGGGGTTGCAGGGGTAAGTACATTGGGGAGTGTAGACCTCAATTTGAAAGACCTTATCCTCCCAGGTTTAGGGCTCCAGGGAAGCCCAGCTGAGGGGAGGGAGCTCCCCAGCTGCACACAGCAGGCAGGAAAGGCTGGATTCCACCACTTCCTTGAGTCCAAAGGAGGGACGTGGTAAGAGGCACAGTCCTGGGCTCTGCCAGACGCCACATAGGCAGCACCCCAGCAATCAGGTCCGAGACTAGAGGGTGACCTCCCTGATCTCCTTCCCTTCTGTGGATCTAAGGAGCAGCATCCATGAAGGAACATTCCAGATAGGAGACGGGCAGGAGGGAAGCAATGACAGCTGCTTTCCGGTCTTTGGGCCAGGATCAGCTGCAGAATGCAAAGGAGACCCCAGAGCTGGTTACTCCATGGGAGGGGTGGAGAGGCTAGGATGCACTCAGCCCATCCACGGGCTGTGCTGTGGCTGGTTGTTCCCAGGACTGAGGCTCTCGCTCACTAGAGAGCACTACCAGAAAGAGCAGAGCAGGGAGCCCCTCCTCTACCATCTGTCTCTGGTTTGTGTGCACGGAGTCCTGCCTTCTCCACATCAGGAAAGTGTTTTCCTCAGTAGGAAACTTATGCAGGTTTACTCCAGAACACTTCAAAAGTGAAGGATGCACAAAGCAATTGGGAAGGCCATTTGTCTATCTGTCCCCTAGGGTAGGGGACACCATCATTTTTCTTTTCCTTTGTTTTTTGCCTCAAGATGGTATATTTTTCTCAGTGAGTTAATTTTTGTTGCCCTCCGTTCTGTTTTTGAGACAGGATCTCACTGTGTTTCTGGGGTTGGCCTGAACTCTATGTAGACCAGACTGAGCTGGAACTCACAGTAATGCACCTGTTTCTGCCTTCAGAGTGCTGGGATTAAAAGTGTGTGCCGCCACTGCCTGGCCTTAGACACCTTTGAACAGTGCACATCATCTTACTGTCTCCTTGTGGAAAGAACTGTGGAGGTGCTGGGGTTATCCAGGCAGGACTTGTTGTCTCTGTCCTTTTGATCTGGGAGAGGCAGAGGTGCTGGTTTTCTCCCCATTTCTGCAGCGTAGGTTTGCTGGGCCAGAGTCAGCCGAGAGTTGGTTGGTTTCAGTCTCGTGTGTCTGCAGGCACTGGTTGGCAAAAGCAGCTCAATCCATGCAGATGCCATTGCTGCCCGCTCTGCTCCAGAGGAGGGCATGCATCACCCCATGGCCCCTCAGCCTCCACGCAGTAACAGCTGCTCGCCAGCTAGGGTAATAATGGTACGCTCCCTTTGGAGCTTATGCGAATGCATGGGGCCATGAAGGACACTGGTAAACAACATCTCACAGGATGAACAGGGGGGAGGAGGAGGAGGAGCACCCTGTCCAGAGTCACTGGAAAGGATCTAGAGAATACATTTTCTTCACTTAAGCTTGTTGAACCAAGCAGAGCTGTGAGTTTTCTCCTGAGCTTTCCCTGGCTACTTCATGGTGACCACAACCTGGCCTTCCCATGCAGGTGCTATGAGCATGTGCCACCACAGGTCAGGCTGCAGAGCACAGAGAAGACAGATTCTCCTCAATTCTCTTATCAGCCTTTTGGAGGGTGAGTGGGTGGAACTTGGATCAAGGGACCATCAGTACCTGGGGCACCTGAGTTTAGCTCTCACATGGCAAGGCTGATGTAGCCCAGAAAGGACATAGGCTTTTCTGAGAACGCGCCTGTCTACGCCTCATCTCCACCAACCTCCTGCTTTGGGCTCCATGTCAACGGGACAGAGAAAATTGTAGCCCAGCAGTTGGCTCACAAAGTGCTGTGCAGAGACTCGAGTGGGGAGGGCGAGAAGCTGGATGCTGTGCAGCATCTGGGCAGCTCTGCTCCAGTTGGCTGTGGTTCTCAGACTAGCAACAAAGGTAAGTGGGGAGGCACAGAAAGAGGAAGTGGCCATAGGGAGCACAGGGGCCAGGGCAGGAGACCCATGGGTCAAGCAGTGTGGCTTGAAGGGAACAGCCTGTGGAACAGGACGGCACCGTAGAGCCTGGGGATTTGGGTGACAGAGAAGGGGCTCCTGGTCAAGTGGTACTGAGAGTCAAGACCAATAACCTCAAAACAGACAGGAACCCCATGGGAGCCTATCAGCCCTGCAGCAGATCCCGTGGAGAAAGAAAGCAGTGGGGGCAGCTGGAGGCCTCTCAGGTGCAGCATAAGTAGCAACTTCCTTCCCATCCTGTCTGCTTCTAACCAACATGGAGCCACATTCCCACCCTAACACTCCACACCGAATGTCCTGACACTTTCAACCACCTTCTAGAGGCCAAGGTGGACCTGGACGCAGGCCTTCTGCCTGGTGGGAGCCACAAGACAAAGGCCCTTCAACACAGCGTTCAGAGACATCAAGGCACCTCACATGACTTTCACGACTCCAGGGTCAAGTGCAGCTCACCCTCTGGCCTCATCAGGCCCAGCTCTCAAGCCAGCTTCCTGTCTTACCGCCAGCAATCTCTGGCCCATCACCTGCTTTCCCCTTTAGACTCGGTAAGCACAGGTCCAAGTTTGGAACTAGTCTCTGCTGTAACCTTCTCAGTGCTCTGGTCCTCCACTGTCCCACCTGTGGTCCTGGGTGCTGTGTGCAGCAGAACGTGGCTCTCTACAGCATCTAGAGCCTTCATCAGGTCTTAGCACGAGGCTGCTCCACCATGCTACTGCTTTCTGAGCTTGATGTCTGCATCAGGATCTGCTGTTCCAACTTCACCCCCATTCACAGCAGAAGGCAGAGGAAACCCATTATTCTCCCCAAAGGACGAATCGCCCAGAGAGCAGCACAGGTGTATCTTGGCAGTCCTTACACCGCCCGTGCACAGTGGGTCATGCATCCCTTTGTGCGCTCCCAACAGCCCCACATGGTCTCCCTCTATCAGATATTCTTTGATCCTACGTCTTTTCACATCCATCACAACCCTCTGGCTTCGGAGCTACCATCACTTATGCCACCAGCACCTCCACGAGGCTGTCACTGTGGCTCAGCAAGCTTGAAGGCACAGGTGTGCCAGCATCAATGCCTCCTTCTGAACTGACTGAATGTGTTTGCTCCTTACTCCTGGGAAAGCCCATTTCCTGTGGACATGGTCTGTGGTGAAGATGAAAGGGCCATGAGGCAGTGTGGTGGCTGCTGGCTGGCAGGGCAGCCACACTCCCTGGTTTCCTGGTCCTAGCGCTGAGCCCCGCATCAGTCTCCATCAGCACAAGAGCTCAGGGTAGCTCTCGTGGCCTTGGCTTGACCCTTTCTGCCTACAGGCAAGGGTGTGAAAGCGGTTCAAGCCATAAAGTGCTAGCCCAAATTCATCATAATCACCATGGGAACAGTCAGGACTAAGAGCAGGAGCCCAGACAACATAGAACCTGTAAAGCCACCATGAAGCTTTCAGTTGTCTAGAGGACATAAGTCTTCTGTGTGGCCCCAAAGTGAAGCTGGGGGGGCAGACAGAAGGCATAAGGACTCAGTGTGAATGTGAGCATTAAAGCAGCCAGAGCACTGGGTCCTCCGCCACTGAAGACATCAGGGCAGAGACGATCTGGCATGGTGAAAGTAGATGGGCCTGGAACACGACTTAGCATGCACAGAGCTCCACCGTGCTCACAGGCACCCTGACACGCAAACATGTGTTCAGATGTTCCCAACACGTCTGGATCTGGGGTTACTGGAGCTACTTTGCATCCGGTAGAAACATCTCCAGGGAATCTTAGAACCAGGTGAAACACTCACAGCCTACTGTGAACCAAACTGGACAGGGTACACCAGGACCACGTGCTTAGTGAGTGTTTCCGGAATGGGAACGTGCCTCTGCTAAAACTTATTCTCAAGTTCACCTGGCAGTTAACATACAATTACCCAGGATGGGGTTCGCCACTCAGGCCCCTCCAGGTACCTGAAGCAACATACTAAACTCAGGTGTGCACAGGCCACTGCTGGGTGGGCGCTCCTGTGGATGCTCCAGGCCAAAGAGCTCTGCCCTGGAGGACCCAAGCTGTTGGCTACAGGGTGGAGGGTCTTTCTGGTACAGACTCTGCACCTTATATGGGCATGTGGTTCAGGGTCATGCTTCCCCAAAAATGTTATCTAGGCGTTTTCTGGTTTGGTTCTAGGTAGGGTCAGGTAGCCCTGGGGTTGCTCAAGGGTTCGAGAAGTAACCCTTTCCAAATTTAGGAGCTGTGTCCCATAATCTGCAGGCTCAGCCCCTGGAGCACTGGGGAGGTCTGCAGATCTCAGCCACTCTTGTTTGACCTTCCAGTGGCACAGTGAAAGGAGGACTTAGAAGGAAAGATCACAAAACCCCACAGCCAGGGCCAGTCCTTCCCACTGACAGACCCACCGCCTTCCTAGTTCATGGTCCTTCCCTAAAGAGTGTGGTGAGTCCGAAGCAAGAGCCCAGGAACCGTAACACACCCACACAGCTTAAATTTTACAAAGGGAAAAAAAAACAATTTTAAAACTGCAGCTTTTAGGGCTGGAGAGATGGCTCAGTGGTTAAGAGCACTGCCTGCTCTTCCAGAGGTCTTGAGTTCAATTCCCAGCAACCACATGGTGGCTCACAACCATCTGTAAAGAGGTCTGGTGCCCTCTTCTGGCCAGCAGACATGCACACAGACAGAATATTGTATACATAATAAATAAATAAATAAATAAATAAATAAATAAATAAATAAATAAATAAATAAATCTGCAGCTTTTAAAGTTTGAAAAAGAGCCCAACCTTGGCTCACTGCAGACTCGCACCCTCCAGGTCTTCCCTGGAAACCAAAGCAGACCCCCCGAAGACACAAAACCCTGGGCTGACAGAGAAAACCCTGCCACCCCACTGGGGCTCTGTGCCAGCTCTACAAACATGGCCCTCACACGGGGGCAGGACAAGTGCACACAGCGACAGCTCTACTGCGAGGGGACGGTCTGAAGCCCCAGGACTAAATGGGAGGAACAGGGCAGTGGGGTTGCTCACTCACCAAGGTGTGCAGCTTCTAAATAGTTCTGCCACACCCCAAAACGAGAGAACGGGCGTCGCTGTCCAGAGAGCGGCTTCTCGCCCGCTAACTCCCAAGCACACATTTTCATTTGGCGAGTTACCAGCAGTGCGGCCCTGGCCAAACCACGTAACGGGAAACAGGTGACGACAACAGCACACACCGTAGTGCTGGGAAGTCACAGAGCTCACATACGTGAGCTGCCGACATCGGCTATCATGGCTGCTGTGATGTCACAGCTCCTGGGCATGCCTTGGCTCAGGTACTGCCTTGAATGACCCACAAGGACAGACACACTGGGCAAGGTTTCTAGGAGACAGACAACAGTGGGACCATTGACTCCTAAACCCGGAGTCTAAGCTGAGTCCCCACTCCCCAGGGAGCGGAGAAGCCCTGGTTATTCCATTGACCCCTTGTATTCTGAGTGCAGACTGAACCTTGGAAAAGCAACCAAACTGACATTCAGCCTTTCCCTGACAGCCTGAGGTCAGGCACACGTGGCCCTGGCCTCTGTCTCACTTGGCTGAGGAGACAGGGACCTTTGCTTCAGTGACAACAGCAAAGGTCTGAAAAACAAGGAAATTCCTGGCATCCACCTGAGATGGGACATGGGTCCCCATGGGGTACCTGGCTGTCCTGTCCACCAAAGCTGTCGGGGACTGGCTCCACATGATGGCCAAGATGCCCAAGCATCCAGTCTAAGAAGCAGGGATTCTTTGGAGAGTGCTCCACCCGAATGGTATGGGACAGAGACAGTGGGGCCAGGAGTGTCTGCAAAGTTGGCATCAGGCACTCTGCTGACTTCCTAGCTCCTCCCTGGTGTAGGGGATTACGTGCTCTTTCAAACTCCAGCTGGCTCAGGTCTGGGAAGCCGGGGTCCAACAAGCAGCAGCAGTCATGGCCACTGAGATGGCCTGCAAGCACTTACCAGGAAGCGGACGTCATCAAAGCCATTCAGCAGCAACTTGCTCTCATACTGCTGCAGGCCGACTGACTCCAGCCACTCCCCGACGCTCTGCTCCAGCGTCCGAGAACCTGACGAGAGAGGAATCGGCAGACGCTTGAAAAGGGAAAACCCATTAAGGCGGTAGCAGCGGCACTCAGAGGAAGACAGATGGCACTGCCACATCATAGTCATTACCATAAAGCAGCCAGACTATGGACAAGAGAGCAGAGAGAGCAGGCACGCAGCTCCTGCTCTCTCCTCCGTGCAGGCAGGGCAGAGCTGCCTGGTACTGTACACGGGCCAACTCGGGCGGCTGCTGCCCACTCACACCCCACCGTGTGAGCTGTCCGGGACCAGGGCCGAGGCTGCACATGCACGATCTTGCCCTAGGGGTTGGGGAAGCCAATCCCCAGCGGTCTCTGGGTCAACTCCTAATCAGTGTCCACACAGAGGCATGGCAGAAAGTCTGTCCCCACAGGCATTAGAGGGACACTAGCGCTCCTAAGTGCCCACAGCCTGGCCGCTCCTCTCTGTGCAGCTTCTAGAGCTGCTGTGGGGCTCTGGCGAGGGGCTAGCTCTGCGACCTTGCAGCATAAACCAGTCAGGCGCGAGCGAACGCGCGTCTTCATGCAGCTGAGGGGCACAGGCACACAGCGAGGGCTCCGGGAAGGAAGCAGTGGCGGCTGTTCACAGGGGCCCAGCACATGCAACACAAGCAGCACGCAACATGGCAGGGGGAGAGAAGGGACTTTTACTTGTTGTCCCCCAGCAGTCCCGGAATAAGCAAACCATGGCCCCAACTCTTTGCGCTCCTAGCTCAGGACAGTCAGGGGGCAGTGTGGGAGTCAGGCTCAGGTGTGGCTCTGCTGGGCCAATGGCATGGTCTTCTACCGGGCTGTGTGGCCAGCAAACTTGGGTGCCTCCGGGGCTGAGACGCTGAGTGAGAAGCTGCCTTCCTGGTCTGGGTTGGCTTCCGGGAGTGCGGTGTCGTTCATTCTCCCCGTCTTCAGTGGCGGTTCCCGTGACCCGCCTGCCTGCGTAGGGGAAAGCCGCCGGGCTGTTCGGTTCTTGGTCAAAGAAGACAAAACCCAAGCAGATAAAAGAAGGAGGCGGCACTTGTCTGTCAGGAGCCGGCAGCTCGTCTATTTACACTGCGCTGCTCTCTGGCCGTGTGGCGCACACAGCTTTCACACACAGCTTTCTTCCTGGGGTCTCTGGTCTCACCATCTCCACAGACGTACAGACAAGGGGAACAGTTATTCACTGTGCTCTGTGGCAGTGCAGGGAGGACGAGAGTTCAGTCCTTCCCGGCAGTCCTCAGATGTTCTGAGCCGGACGCCTTCACATATCCCACCTTACTTCTTTGGTTCTTGCAGTAAGAACGGGTAAAAGAAAGATAAAGAAGGGGAGGAAGAGAGAGCTTCAAGGCAGGAGAAAGAAGCAGCAGCTACAGAGACATCACCTCCCAGGGACTCTTCTCGACACGGTGAAAGTCATTCTGCTGTTACTGGCAGTCTCTGCCCTTCAAGGCAGGGCAATGCCAATTTGCTTGTCTTAGGGACCCTGCTGACCAACTGTGGCAGCCGTCACTCCTCTCCTGTCCTCCGCAGAACAGATGGTGGGTGTTGACAGGGTAGTCTCTGGATGCAGGCTGTAGCAGTGTTCCAAAATGCCGAGTCTGGGGGCTCCTAGACTTGCCCTTGAATGGAAAGTCAGCTCCAGGAACCTACGCAGCAGGCTCTTGAATGCTCATGAGCTTGTATGGCCCCCACTGCTGATTCATTCCTGTTTGTAATCCCAGGGCTGGGCAGCTGTGGTCCAGGCTGCCGCCGGTGGATGTGCACGCTTAGAGCCGCAGCAGAGTGCTTTGTCTCAGGCTCCGGGGCTCCACACTGCTGGCTGCCGGCTGCTGGCTCCTCAGTCCTTGCTCACTCTCGTGTCTGGCCCTCCCCTTCCTCCCCTCCCACCCTTCCCCCTTCTACGCTCAGGAAAATACATCAGGGATCGGACACTGGAGCAGAAGCTGCTGCTGCTGAGGGAGCCAGAGTGAGATGACAGGTTTCCTGGGAGCGATGCCGCGGTGCAGACGAAGGCACCTCAAGTTTGGGGGGCAGGAAACTCTTACAGGCACAGAATAATCATGCCTGTAACTTGGGCTGTCAGTTTTGAGGACAACCAGGAGAGGGGACCAAGGGGCGACACAACCCACAGTTAACTTGTCCCTTTAGGAAACACTGTCCTGTTCAGCCAAAAAAAAAAAACAAAAAAAAAAAACCACAAAAAAACGGCAAAGCGAGGCTACTGCACCTGCTGCTCCTCAGATGAGGACGCAGGGGCCAGGCAAGGGAGCACACACCTAGAGTAGGACACTCAGCAAGGGACAGCCAGGGAGGGGGAAAAGGTCACAGATAGACAGGAACCACATGGCACCTGCATCTCAATAGGTCATTACGGGCATTGTGTCCAGAGGGACCAGGCCCTTGGAGGCGACACTCGGAGCTACTCAATAGTGATGGGGAGTACAAACAGAAGGAAGCCAGGCTATTGTCTCTACAGGGCAGGTCTTTGTTAGTGTGATGGACTGCAGGTAGCTGGCAGAGGCACGAAGCAGTTGTAAGACATGTCTTTTGGGGATTTGGGTATCTAGCTCCAGTGTGGACAGTCCCAGGCTCTTGGGTATCCACCAACCAGTCTAACCCTTCAGGAGGGAGCCCTGTGCAGAATTGGCCTCTCTGACCAGACGTCACTAGCTTGGGACCTGATGCTGCTGGAGGCTGTGCCTCCACCCAAGCTGCTTGTGCCAGAGCCCAGGAATCTCCTCTTTGACTCTCGCTGACAACTGAACCCTAATACACTCAGATCCTGACCACTCAAAATTCACAATGACTCTGCTTTGGCCTGAGCCAGCCTCTCCAGGCTTCTTGTCCAGTTAGTGGGTCAGACCCCATGCCCTGGGGCTCTTCACCTGTCCTGGGTGTCCCTAAGCTGGGGTGTAGAAGGTGGCTCAGCAAAGCAAGCATGCACACAGGAACAGGTGCTGTGGTCAGGACAGCCCGAGGGAAGAGAAGCCCTCTCGCCACTCCCCAGCGTGGGGGAGAAGGTGAGAAGCTCAGTGCCGACTCCTTCCTAGGAGGCCCTGACTTCTGATTCCGGCCTCTTAGACAAGCGTGGCTCAGGCTCCTGATCCTTAGGTGAGGTACAGGGAAGCAGAGGTGGCTGCAGCTAAGCTCAGCCCCAGAGCACAGCCTTGAGAGTGGCAGGAGGGTTTACCTGTCCATCCTAAACACCTATTCCCTACGAACACCTGACCCTAGCAAGCATGTTTACTCCGGAAGTGTGGGCAACCGCCGGGCAGAGTGCAAACAACTGGAGAAAGGTCTATGGCTGAAAAACCATCTGTCAACTCCAGCTGTCATCCAAGATGGACAAGGACCAAACCCTGCCCAGTCCCTCTGCTACAACCCAGGAACCGAGGCCTGCAGGGAAGGAGGCCTCAGGAAACAAGGCTAAATGCAGAGGAAGCCGAGGCAGGGAGCAGGTGCCCTGTCCCCAGAGTTCATGGGTGTCATAGAAATGGGCATGGCTTCCATTCACTCAAGTGCATGAGTATCTGATGGGTATACTATGCGGTAAGCGGCTAAGAGGTGCTGGAAGGAGCCTGGCACTCAGGTAGGATGAAATGAATGACTTGCCCTGGAGCCTGTATTTAGAACCAGGATTTGAACTCAGGGCAGTGCGGCTCCAGGAGCCCAGACTCTGCCCAGCAAAGCCCATTTCCTTTCTCAAATGTGCACAGCACCCGCCACACCTCCATCAGGCCTCTTGGCAGGGCAAAGACGTCTAAGACTGGGAAGGGCCAGGAAGACTGCTGGGTCAGTGCTAAAGGAGGTGCAGGCACGGAACCCTGGAGAGGGGGCACACTCATCAGAAAGGGAGGCTGGGCCTCCTCCGAGATGGCCTAGTTCTGGGGTCTGAAGGAGGGCTCTGGGGCACTTTAGGGACCTCTCTTCTGAGAAAGAAACCTGGCATGATGGCCCATTTCACAAAAAGGAAAAGCAAGACAGACCTTACCCCTGTGGCTTGGATGAACAGAGTGGCCTGTTCTGTGGGGATCTGGGTAACACGGGCGAAGACGAGAGAGAGATCTGGAAGGGAAGAGACAGAGCCCCTCCCGGAGACTCTGACAAGTGCTGGCAGGGAGCACACTCACCCAGCCCAGACTCCAGAGTGGTAAACAAGGCACATGGGGCCATGTTTTCAGGACCAGCTGGTGCCAGGGCCACGTCAGGAAGTAACCCCAGTGTGGCCATTCTGATGAAGTCCGAAGCAGTGAGCGACCGGACAGCCACATTACAACCCCTTTTCTTCACAGCCAGCCTCACGTTCAATCCATACACTTGCCCCCAGAATGCAGGGCCGTTTCTCCATAAGGTCCAGAGCAGGGCGTGGCCCAGGCTGGCCCCTTTTTCCTACAGACGTCTGTTTTGGGTCAGAGAAGCTGAGGCTGCCAGGGCCAGGGAGAGGCCTGTGTTTTTACAAGGTGGGGAGCAGTACAGTACCTGAGATCTTCTGCTGTTCCTGAGAAAAGTCAATTCCTTCTCCAATCGAGCTCATGATTTTCTCAATCTGAAACAGAAGGAAGAGAGCAGAAGAGGGGTCAACTCGGGGTCAGCATTGCCAGCTCAAGGCCAGCCCCACCTAGCTACCTTCCCAGGTCTAAGGCAGGAGGGTGTGGACTGAGGATGAAGACGCGACCCCTAGTGGTCTGCACTAGTCACCGCTCGTCGGTAGAACTGGGGTTTCCTGAGAGGACACAGTGCCAACTTTGCTCTATGTTATGCTCCAGGCACCTAGAGTCATGCTTGGCAGACCGTGAGCACGATGCGGATAGTGGTGGCCATTACTGCGAGCCCCGAGGTGTGTGTGTGGGAGGGGGTTGTGTAGCCCTGGATGGGAGGCTAGATGAAGTTTTGCATGCACTAGGGGAAAACAGACATCAACACTGACCTTCCTCTGGACCACAGCAGAGACAGTGAGCCTCAAAGCAGCTAAATGGCCTCAGCACAGCCCCTGGTATAGACCACCTGTCTCAGCACCTGGCTTTGCTTACTGTGGGCTGGAATCAAGCTGCCCCATCTGCGCCTCAGTCCAGTGTGTTCGGCCAGGGGTAGGTCTAGACAGCCAGACAAGGATCGCCTGTCCCCCTTTCTTGGGCTGCAGCGATAATGAGCTCATTCACAGCTTCTTCCAAAGCCATGAAAAGAGGGACCTTTTGTACCAAGGCTTGGATGCTCTTCCCCTAAGTGCAAGTAAGGAGCCTGGGTCTGACAATCAGAAAAACAACTCCCAGCTGGCCTCCAGCTGGCAGACAGGGCGTGCAGCTGACACCCAGGGGAGCACAGACTAAGTGCCTTCTCTCTCCCTGAGGCCAGTCCAGCTCACATCCTCAGCTAGAGTTCAGTCAGAAAGCACAGGGACACAGTGAAGTAAAGCAGCCTTGGAGCAGACTGTGGTGGGGATGTATGCTTGTGAGGCGGTTCCAGGGTGGGTCTGCACTGCCCCTGGAGTAAACAGCTGCCCACATGTGTCCCTACATGATTTCAGGTGCTGTAGCACAGGCAAATGACCCAGACAGTCAGGAAAAGACCATCAACCTCTAAAGTCTGGAATGTAAATACACAGAGACTGGATTAACTCTATACCATGCTCTGCGCAAGAGAAATCAGCTGTGATCACTGTCCTCTGTTCCCCTAGGAGGGTTCCAGCCTACTAAAGCCTAAACTTAACTTTAAAAAATATTTTTATTGTGTATGGGTGTTTTGCTTGCAATAATGTCTAAGCACCACATGTGTGCCTGGTGCTTGTGGAGGTCAGCACAGGGCACAGCATGCCCTGGAACTGAAGTACAGATGGTTATGAGCCACCACATGGGTGCTGGGAATCAAATCAAATGTCCTCTGCCAGCAGCAAGTGCCTTTAAACCCTGAACCATCTCTTCAACCCACTCAAAAATATATATATTTTTGAAATTTTTGAGACAGGGTTTCTCTGTGTAACAGTCCTGGCTGTCCTGGAACTCCCTTTGTAGACCAGGCTGGCCTTGAATTCACAGATATGCACCTGCCTCTGCCTCCAAGTGCTGGGATTAAAGGCACGTGTGCCACCACCGCTTGTCCCCAAAAATATTTTGACTCGTGTTACTTTTGAGACAGGATCTTACTGTGTTACTGTGGCTGGCTTAGAACTCACTACACAGTCCAGACTTGCCTTGAATTCAGAGATCCTGGCTCTGCCCACCCAGCGCATCACCATGCCTGGCCCTTGGTGTGTACATCAGAAACGACAAGACTATTCAGAGACCAGCATGCCTCCTGCTTGCCGCCCATTATCCTTCCCGTCCACCTTTTTAGATCACTTCCCAGACATGGGCAAACGACAGACAGCTCCGCCCTTCCACCCCAGCAGACGCATCTTGCTTTTTCCATTAACCAAGTTCTGGAGCCTTTTTCACGATCACAGAGAACTCAAAATGAGCCACACTGGCAGAGCAGCTCTCCAACTACATGTTTAACAGTTGCCTGGCACTGCCAGGGCTGCAATGAGCTGTTCCGTGCATGTCTTGTGCACATTTACAAGCACGTGAGTGGGGTCACTTCTGTGTGTGTGCTGAAGGTCACAGCTGAGTGGTCTGGGGAGGCGGCTCGGTGGTGAAGTGCTGTCTGCGAATGTGTTGCCCCGAGTAAGGATCCCACAGACTCGTGGATAATGACAGTAATAACGGATGTGGGAGCTGCACCTGTATCCTCTGCACCTACTGTAAGATGGCAGGTAGGGACAAGATAGTCCCCAGCTCACTGGCTCACTTGCCTGGAATGCAGTGGCAAATAGAGGCCCTGTCTTAAGGAGGAAGGTGAAGTCGGCCTCTGACCTCCACAAATGCACCGTGATGAAGCATGGGAGTGCCTGCTGCACTTACACATGACACCCGCGTGTGCATGGAGGCAGAGCCAGTGGCAGGTCACAGAATCCCTGCTCCCATCCTCAGCAATTCTGCTGAAGGTCTTCCAGAAATGGTGCTCAACAATGCACGTGGTCAGCTCCTTTCCTCTGCAGGGCGTCTATCTGTGACATTTGTCTTCCCCAGAGTTACAGCGTTTCTGTGTGTAACTCCAGCACGGGGCTCCTGCCCTCTGGAGAGGCTCGCCTGGCCCAGCCTAGAAGACACCTCAGGGCCAGTTCTCCAAGCCTGGGTTACCTGATCTAATTATAGACACCTCACAGCCAGGCAAACAGCAGTTACTCAATAAATCCTGCTCCCTTGCCTTCCTTTTCCTTTCTAGAACATCTGTAGAAGAGCCAGGCGCTCAAGGAGGGAAGACCACATGGGGGAGAACGACCTTCATTCCCGAGGGGGTGTCAGAGTGGGAAGATGGGACATCTATGGCAGGGTCCCCAAGAGTGAAGTCCAGTGCATTTTATCCCGAGCACGGCACATGGGAGTGAGTGAACGAGTGAACGAGCAGGCACTTTCCATTACGATGGCCTAGCAATGAAAGTCATTGTCCAAGTCACAGTCCGTACCATGGAGAGAGGGCTGCAGCGGGTGGTGGTCCAGTGTATTCTCTCATTCCTGAGATTTCCCAGAGGGCCATTTGACATGAGTGCTGCTTGACCCCAGAACCACCCACATGTGCCTGGAGGTCAGCACAAGCCAGGGTTTCCGCACTGTTCTGTGCGCCTGTGCCAGTGGTCACTGCCCTGTGGGTTGCCACAGCCAGGCCATGCTGAAGGGTCCAGTGTGCGGAGGACATGTGGGAACAGGCCAGTCTTCCGACAGCAACTGGAACCTACAGAGGTGACATGGGTGTCTGGGAGGGGTTCCAGGCAGCCTTAAGTAGGACTGTGGAGTCACAGGGGCTGGGCTTTGCTTTCCCTGCTTCCACACACAGCCCAGAAGCAGAAGACCTGGCACCTGCAGCTCTGGTGAGCAAGGAGAGGCAAGGGGCAGGCGGACGCCACCCCCACACACGCGGGGTGGGTTAACTGAACAGGGAATGCTGAGGAACATGAGTGTTCCCAGAAGTCTGCTTTCAAGGGAGGGGGGAGGTGTGACCGGAGGGCATGGTTTTCTCTTTCTGCTGCTCACATGAGTGACTCTGGAGCGATGGTTGGTACCGCACTCCTCATGAGCTGCAACCAGAGAATGTCTATCCGTGTTAGTTAAGATAAGGCCCTGGAAGTGGTCACAGGGAAAATTCTTGTGTTAAAAAATGTTTTAAAGCCTGGCAGTGGTGGCACATGCCTTTAATCCCAGCACCCAGGAGGCAGTGGCAGGTGGATCTCTCTCTAAGTTCGAGGCCAGCTTGGTCTACAGAGCTAGTTCTAAGACAGCCAGGGCTACCCAGAGAAACTGTCTCAACAAAGCAAAACCAAACAAAATGGAAATGACCCATTTCAGCAAATGTTCAGGATGCTTCTGTTCAGGTGGCTCCCCTGCCAGGGCTGTACGAAACACACTCCCAGATGATTGGAAGCGAACACTGGCTATGCTGCTGACCTCTGCACAGAGCCCCCAGGACCCTGGATGCCTGCCTGCAGCTGCCCATGGGAGGGGGCCTGTCCAGCCACTGAGAGGAGTGCTTTTCTAACAACCACTGGAGCGGAAGGAAAACCTCAAGTTCCGAGGAGTTTTGTGAGTGCGCCAGGAAGCGTGTGAGGTGCAGGCAGTCCCTGGAGCACCCTGGAGGGTCAGTGCACTCCTGCTCCTGGGCCCGTGGGAAATTTCCCTTTTGGGTGGAGGACAAGTTAGAGGCAACACTGTGTCCAGAGGCTCCATCTGGGACCAAGGCAATCAGACAACAGCCACCAGTTAGGTGTGTGCCTAGATGCTGAGGACTCTATGGGGAGGAGAGGAACTGCTTCCTCTTCCTGTTCTAAGTGTAATTATTAAAGGCGGTGTTTCTGGAGAGCCCCAGAGTTGGCTACTGACATTGCCTAGCTCCTTCCTGCTGCCTGGGGAGCATTCCCACACACATTCCCTGGGAGTCGGAAAGACGATGCTAGTGTCCTCAGGTCTGTCCTACAGAGCTGGAGGTGCTCACCTTCCTCCTCCATCCCCCACTTACAAACTTCCCAGAAACCTGTCTGGCTCTCTTGTTTTTAACAGTTTTAATGGTATATCCCAGCGAAGCCAAGAACCATGGGGAGGGGGGGTGCTGTCTGAGGGCCGCAGACCTCACCCTGTGTCTTCTACAGAGCTGGCGTCTTGGTGATGCTCAGGCCCGGTGATAGCAGTGATATCTACTGTTCAGAGCTCTCCCTCAGGCTGGCCACTAAACATGGAATCGCACTTACATAAATGGAGACCACAGGGAGGGTGGCCTACACTGGCTGTGGCTTCTGGGTCTGTCTAGGGTCCCTTCCCTTATTTTTACAGCCCAACTCCTCACCATCCCTGCTGAACCTCAGCCCACTGTGGAGCAGGCAGAGCCTCACATCCAGGGAGGAATCCAAAGTGCCACGCCTTGGCAGATCCTTAACCGCCAGCAGCCTAGCCTGCTACTGGGCCTGAGAGGACCAAGCAGTGTTTCTGGAGGAGTGAGGTGCTGAGGACCGGGCAACAGCCT